CTAATCTGTTAAAGGGACTATTTTTTCTTAAAAGTATTTCAATTTAGTGCATTATTAATGTCTTTAGTGCTTGGTTTGGTTGATATTAAATTTAGATATATTTAAAATGTATGTTTTGGGACCATGGGGTAGGGATATTGTGAACATATATATTATATTCTCAGTTCTTTTTAAGGTTAATTGTAAAAGAAAATTAAATAGCTTTTTTTGAGGGGTGGGGGGATATTGTTATTATTGAACACAATTTTATTAGTATTGAAATTAACTTTGTTGATTAATATTCCAAATGTCTCGGTGCTTTATTTTTCAATTTAAATAGCTACTTTTTATTTAATAATTGGGAATGGGGGGGGGGGTATTTTTTCATTGTATAACACAATTTTATTAGTATTGGAATTAACTTTGTTTATTAACCTTCGAGATGTCTGTATTGGTATTAATTAGGCATTAATTTATTTTTTCATATCATTTATTGAATAAATAATAATTTAACAAACAAAATTATTATGTCATTTATCAATAATTACAGTTTAAACAGAACGAATGGAAGGGGTTGCATTCGAAAGGTTGCTATACTGGATATAAATTGGTAAAATACAACACAAGTTTTTGTTATACACAAGTTTGTACGAAACAACACGAGTTTCAAAAATTTCAACACAAGTTTCAGAAATTTCAACACAAGTTTCAGAAATTTCAACACAAACAAGTTTCAGAAATTTCAACACAAATAATGTGTAGATTTTCACACAAGTTTTGTGTTGTTTCAACATTTAACACAAGTTTTGTGTTGTTTCAACATTTAACACAAGTTTTGTGTTGTTTCAACATTTAACACAAGATTGTGTTGTTAAATAGAGACACCTAACTTGTGTTGAAAATAACACAAGTTTGTGTTGTTTCAACACAAGTTTTTTTTCAGTGTATGACGTGGGGTCTGAGAGCTTGAACGATGTAGCGCACTGCTGTGATTTCGCCTGCTCTCCCTGGACCAAGATTTTGGAACACCACAGGACCCACTCTCTGGTTCAGGCCGATTCCGCCCCAAACCATTATGCTTGGTCCTCCCCATGAGTCTTGTTCCATGACACATTGGTCAGAATAACGCGGACCACGTCGACGCCATATTCTGTTCCTGCCATCTGCAGTTGATACGCAATACCAACTCTCATCTGTGAACAGAACAGTTCTCCATTGCCTGTGTCGCCAGTTCTGGTGTCGATGGCTAGGGTAAGGATCGGTCCACGGTAAGGTCTACGGCAATGGATGTTCTCTCTGGTGAGACGTCGGCGCACTGTATCGGTACTGATGGGTCTTCCGTGTGTTCCCACTGTCTGACGTGCTGTCTCAGATGCCTGTGTGAAGGGATTCTGCACGTGCTGTCGCACAACGTGGCGTTCTTGTTGCCTTGTGGGACGATCATCCGTGGTGTTAGTGGCCCGAAAGCGTTGCCGAAGCCTGTAGATGGTCCGAAAATTTACCTGGAAGTGATTGGTAACGACTTGGACAGTGTGGCCAGCGTCGAGTCTTCCAAGCGCTTGGTTCCTCTGAGCTGTCATGAGTCGTATCATTCTGCTGACGTTGTAGTGTGAATGATTCAACCAGGTATGGGGGTGCATTTTATAGGGCTGGTCCCGGTGAACAGCACGTGCAGCATGAGTTACATGAAAAACATGGAGAACACATTACCATCTCAGGTTGCGTTTTTGAGAACATTCCCTGGATTCAATTCTGTTTAGTATACTTGATTATTTAATATTTAATTAAGAAATCAAAATGCCAACGCCAGATTAACTCCCGACTTGGTTCAGTCAGATTAAAAACAGGCCCGCCAATATGGTAAACGGAAAATAAAGATAGCGTGGGTTTCTTATGTAGGACACAGTATACGTCAATGGAATTTTTAATTCATCATATCTTCGTAAATACTCAACGGAATTGAGCCGTTTTTTCAACTGATATTTCTATTAGACTTTCAACTTTCACAATTATCTAGTTTGCAGGGGTCTTTAAGATTGTTTTAAATATGGTTTTTCAAAACTAATCACATTCATCTCCTTGGTGAGTGTGATAATGCATCTTTAAGTTATAAATGTATGCCTAGACCTATTCAATATTGTACTCTTGTGTGTATGTTAGTAGTGAATTATACTATATATTTAAAACTAGGTTATCATATATTGCTAGATATAAAAATAGGTCACACATGTTTGCACATGATATTGCCTAAAGTATGCTAAAAGAAATCTCCACTGGACTAAATCGTGTACTTTAAGAACAAAGTACAAAAAAAATTGTTGACTCACGTTGTCTAGAAAGAGCAAGCGCACGCTGGTCTATCTACGACACTCGTCATTTCCAAGAGCCAAATATGAGATCATTATTTGGGGCTACATTTCTAATAAAATTGTCGAAAGGCCACCAACATAATCATCCAGGCCAATGGTTTCAATACCTAATTAGGCACCATAATTGTCGTCTTTTTGTTCTTGGGAGCGATGCTCTTCGAAAAGAGGTCAATGTTTGCCAAGTCAAGTAACATCGATATGAAACTTGACATGCGTGAATGTTCCTTGAACAAATATACACCGATTGGTTTTGTAGGCCCATGAACTCCTCCAGTTGAATTATACTTTTATGAACAGAAAATATGCACTGCAGCACCATGCTTTTCTCTCGACCACCATCGACAAATTTAGAATAACTAAACCATCCTTTTAAATGCGAATGGATTTCAGCAAATTTAAAGGGACAGTTGAGCTGTTACAAATGTTTCTGGAAAATCGCTTGGCGTTTTATTAAAAATTAATACGCCGACTGTCGCATTAGGAGGGAAAATGCCCGTCACTGTAAATAAACAAACTGGCGCCGCTGTTGGTGTTCTCTTGTATCTGGGTTAAAATTAAAATTGCCGATTTCTTTATTTTCGTTGAAAATTGTACTTCCTTTTGGTAGAGCCGATTTTGAGATTGATTTTTTTAATTTTCGAAATGGTAAACTATTAATGTAACCAATATTAGTAAATACACAGACTATCATTTAACCTTTTAAAACAAACCAGTGGCTGCCAGGAAGGATACGCCCACATTTTCGAGAGATGGATAGAGAACAAGCTAAAAAAGGAAGTGATTTTTCCTACAATCAAGGGCCATAATTCAGAAAATTACAATTCGATATGCGCAAATATCGAAAGGAACCGAGATCTTTGGGTTATAAACTTACATTTCAAGTAAGTTACGGTCTGATAATTCAGGAAGTTACGGTCCGATATGCGCGAATATCGAAAGGAACAGAGGTCTTTGGGTTATAAACTTGCATTTCAGGTTTCATCAAAATCGGATAAAAATTGTGACCTCTATAGGGTCCACAACCTTGGTATACCATATTATTACGTTATCTGAGAACGAAGGGCGGCCATTTTGTATGTCAGTTTTGGGACGATTTTCACGAAATTCGAACTCAACCATCCATAGGGTGTAACGGTGATATAATAATACGTTTTTTTTAAATCGGATAAAAATTATGACCTCTATAGAGCCCACAAGTTAAAAACGCGATTTTTCGTACAATCAGGGGCCATAATTCAGGAAGTTACGGTCTAATATACGCGAATATCGAAAGGAACCGAGATCTTTGTGTTATAAACTTACATTTCAAGTTTCAACAAAATCGGATAAAAATTGTGACCTCTATAGGGTCCACAACCTTGATATACCATATTTTTTACGCTATTTGAGAACTAAGGGCGGCCATTTTGTCTGTCAATTTTGGGCCGATTTTCACGAAATTCGAATTCAGTCGTCCATAGGGTGTAACGGTGATATAATAATACGGTTTTTTAAACTAAGGGCGGCCATTTTGTCTGTCAGTTTTGGGCCGATTTTCACGAAATTCGAACTCAGTCGTCCTTAGGGTGTAACGGTGATATAATGTGGACGTATTATGCCGTCGCCCCTGTCCGTCCGTCCACAATTTGTTTGTGGACACTCTACAGGTCACAATTCTTATCCGATTTTGACGACACTTGAAATATAGGTTTATCTCCAAAAGATCTTGGCTGCTTTCGATATTGGCATGTATCGGATCGAAACTTCATGGATTATGGCCCCTGTTTGTACGAAAAATCACGTTTTTAGCTTGTGGGCCCTATAGAGGTCACAATTTTTATCCGATTTTGTTTAAACTTGAAATGTAAGTTTATAACCCAAAGATCTCGGTTCCTTTCGCTATTCGCGCATATCGGACTGTAACTTCCTGAATTATGGCTCCTGATTGTACGAAAAAGATTTTGGTTCAAAAAAGTTTGAACCAAATCGGATAAAAATTGTGGCCTCTACAGTGTTCACAAGCTAAAAACGTGATTTTTCGTACAATCAGGGGCCATAATTCATGAAGTTACAGTCCGATACATGCCAATATCGAAAGGAACCGAGATCTTAGGGTGATAAACCTATATTTCAAGTTTCATTGAAATCGGATAAAAATTGTGACCTGTAGACTGTTCACAAACAATTGTGGACGGACGGACGGACAGGGGCGACGACAATATACGTCCACATGAAAATGTGGGCGTATAAAAATTCATTGAAATAAATCACCAAACCAATCCAATTCAATATTTTAATCACCATCATAGAGCAAATAATAGATTACTACGAACGAAGAAAAAAGGTCAGGTACACTTGATTTAAAAACGGTCTTATCACGGGGAAGAAAGGAAACAAAGAGTGTTTTTTTTTTGATAATCCACAATCTAAAGTTGATTACCTGACCAATACTCTTAATCACCTGAACCGCCAGGTGCTTCTGAATTTCTTATAGATCTTTGACATAACCGTACTTTGTTTTCTAGAGTTCTGAACTATAATCGGTAAAATAGCCCATGGCATTTGGAATTCGATATAATAGTAGTCCATAGTGCCGCTGTTCGGGCAAAATATCCCTCATAGCATTTCATTTCGTTTGTTTTATTTCATTAGGATATTGTTCGTACATTCTAGGTTGATTTGGAAACAGGGAGAAGTCTGACATATAAAGAATTAAAATGTCTGATTATAAAAGCGTCGAATGGTTTACAATCTTTAGGAGTCAAAGAAGGAGATGCTGTTTGTGTGTGTTCACCTAATAATATTGATTATGCTGTGGTTTTCTTCGCACTGGTGTTGTTTGGTGCCACGGTGCAGGCAACTAATCCACAATATACAAAAGGTGAGTCAAAAAACTAAATATTCACGAAATCCTTGGACAACTGTCTTTGAGTGCTGTGCCGGTTAGGTTTTTTTCTGGTATTGAAATGCGTGTGAGTTAGTTGTTTTTTTACGCCCGCTTCCACCGAGATGATATCGTAGTCAGTCTGTTAAATTTATAGCGTTTTCTTCACATTGCCACCCGATAATCGAAACGATTTTGTTCATTGTCATCTAATTAACCACGTCAATACTGTGGTATGCTATTTACCACTTTGACACTGTGTTATCTAATTAAACACGGCGACACTGTGGTATCTAATTAACCACGGCCACACTGTTTTATCTAATTAACCACGTCGACACTGGGTTATCTAATTAAACACGGCGACACTGTGGTATCTAATTAACCACGGCGACACTGTGGTATCTAATTAACCACGGCGACACTGTGTCATCTAATTAACCATGGCGACACTGTGTTATCAAATTAAACACGGCGACACTGTGGTATCTAATTCATCACGGCGACATTGTGTTATCTAATTAACCATGGTGACACCCTGTTATCTAATTAACCATGGCGACACCGTGTTATCAAATTAAACACGGTGACACTGTGGTATCTAATTAAACACAATGACACTTTGGTGTGTCTGATATTATTCTTAAGTTGCAGTATTCGTTGGATTACATTTGAATTATTTACAGATGAGTTAATAAACCAGTTTAAACAGTGTAATACACAGTGGGTTATAACAGTACCCAGTCTCTTAAACACGATAAAAGAAAGTAGAATTAAATCTATTAAGGTGAGTTTCTTTTAATCATTGAATGGTACCGGTACAAACGCATCAAGTCCGATATTTGCAAGCAATTGCTGGGTTACTTTTTCTCCGAAACGTCACCATTATTGCGTACTGGATGCTTTATTTATCTAATTCCCGCCATCAGGAGATGGTAGCTATGGAATCGAGTAATCTCTCGCTGGCTGAATGTGCACATTCCTAAACGACCAACGAGTAAAATGTTAATTACGTCATCTGGTAATCGTAGTCAATGCTTTAATTGGCCTTTCTTTCTTTTCCAGGGGATTATTGTTATAGGCGGTGATTCAAAACTTGACAATTGCATTTCCCTGAACACAGTTATCTCCCTTGGAGAAGGCAAAAATCTAAAGAAAGCAACATTTGACCCGAAGAAGACTGTCGCTTGTTACATATTTTCCAGTGGAACAACTGGTTTACCTAAAGCTGTTATGTTATCACATTATAATATAGTCGCTAATATGGTACACGTCGTTAGGTTAGCATTTATTGTAGTTTGATTTGTACATAAGGCTAATGTTATTCAGTGCACATCAAACAGGGTACCACCGGTACCATATTCACCAACACTGGGCATGTTGATTATCAAATCTTCATCCAGCTCTTCCCTACAATATATACTCACTTCAACTCATAACAATGTCAGATGCACACTTCAACTCATAATAACTGATGCGTACTTCATTCTATCACAATTATCTGATACTCACTTCATTCCATTTCAATATTTGATACTCACTTTTTTCCATTTCAATATCTGATATTCACTTCATTCCATTACAATATATGATACCCACTTCATTCCATTTCAGTATCTGATATTCACTTCATTCCATTACAATATCTGATACTCACTTCATTCCATTTCATTATCTTACTCACTTCATTCCATTACAATACCGCTTAAGTTAACCATCTAATTTCAAGCTGAGGAGGCCATACCATCCAAAGTTGATCATGTCAAACCACATCACTTCCGGTTGACGAGACCATTATAATTTAGAAAATATAAAATCCAATATGCTCAATTCCGACTCACAAAACTAAACAATTATAAAATAAAAGCCAAATCACATCTCTCCATTAAGAAATGGTATTATTTATAGGCAGGCGATTATCGCATGGCCATTGATTGGTTGATAGGTCCTGTTGTTTGGGCCAAGCTTATGTTAGGCCCATTATTGGGCATTTAATTTGAATAATGCAAGAAATTAACGAATATCTCTTCTCCTATTACCGTCTTACCATTGTCATAATTTCATCCCTTTAAGTGAGCTCACCTGCGCCTCTAAGGTTATGTATTTGTGACATCTTGTAAGATACAAAATGTAACCATTTTATTGCAGCTTTCTGAGTTTAGAACCAGGTGATGATTGCCTAGTATTTCTGCCATTTTATCATATGTTTGGTTTAATCTCCATCTTGTGTTGTTCTTTGATGTTTGGTGTGAAACTGGTTATTATGTCCAATTTTCAACTTGTGCCTTATTTCGAAGCCATTCAAAAATATAAGGTATAAATATTAATATTTGTGACTGTCGTTTGTTGGTCTGTCTGTTCAGGGTTGGTGGCTATACTAGGGCTGAGATTTGGTGTATAGGGGTAGATCGGACCGGGGAGTAACATAGGCCTGGTTTTGATGGACTACAACTTCTAGTTTCAGAGTTATGTTGCGTATTGCACCCTCCCCACCCCCTGGCGAATCAAGCCCCTAGCGATTGAGCCCGGGTCAATTGGGTCATGGACGAATTTAAGCCCCGAACAAATTTGGGCTCCGGATATCCTGCATGTCGCTGTCGATTCATAATTAATATATATGGACAGCACCTGTTAATTACATAGTCACAGCAACGCTTTTCTTTAGGTGGTTTCAGTTGATATGTTATTATTTACATTAGTGAAAGAGGGGTGGGGGTCTAAAGCGTGAACTTTAGATCACAACCTCTGTGATTGTGTCACGTAGCGTGGTTTCGATCAAAACGCCTGTACGTAAGGAGTGTGGCCGCCTGGTCATCCTCGTGGGTTTACACCTGGTTAAAATATAGCTCAGTAATAAACTGTGCCAAATATCGTGAATTCGATCCCAGAGAAAGGTCGTCTGCCTAACCTCGTGATTTAGTCTGTGTTTTTGAATTGGAATGATCTTAATCACAAATGTCTTTCAAAATGTTTAACTATGTACTGCTGAGTGATAACAGCAATTGATCATTTTATTTTATTTTATATATTTATTTGTTTGTTTTAGATCAAAGTCATACATGTTGTACCGCCAATAATGGTGCTACTAGCTAAGTCACCAGAAGTTAAAAATTATGACCTCACATGTGTTAGAAGGGTGTTATGTGGAGCTGCTCCTTTAAGTAAAGATATAGAGTTGAAGGTCAGAGATATATTACAGATTGACTTCATAACTCAAGGTAATATTCGTTGTTATAGATAAAAGATAACTTACAGGGAGAAAAGCGAGATCTTTGTCGATGGATATGATTAGACATCTGAATGTGTTAAAATGTGAAGTTATATCAAAATTTTGGGACAAATTTGTTATTCCATCGCTGAGATGGTTCTGGTTTATGGAATCATGTTTTGGAACTTTTGTAGTAAAAAAAATTAAAGATGTCTCAGTAAATTTTTATATCCATATATAATACTATATGGGTTATTTTAGTTGTATGAAAGGTGCTCTGTTTAATATATTGAAGTGGTTAAACAAATCGGTGACAACGAGAAATAGGCTAAGTAGGTATTTTGCAAGATTCAACTGTCTTAGACTAACTTACCGACAGTCCCTGCCATCATCAATTGCCGAAAGTAGGGTAATCTTGTGCACAGATTAGTCCAATTAAACAGAATAATATTGACGTAAAACGTTGCCCATACGAAACACTTACCCAAAAATGGTAATTGCCCCGCCCTAATAACTGGCATATCTATGCTTTCTATATAAGAAATAGCGAGGTTAAATTTGCTTCAGACATCATTTAGTATTCTCGGAAGGACGTTCCCACAGCCTCCTCGCCTGAGAAGCTGGGATGCAGACATCATAGAGCATTCCGAGAAGGGAAAATCATAGCCTCCTCAGCTTAAAGGCTAGGGGGAAGACATCATTTCAGAGACCCTAGGAAGGACATCATGTAGAAATATCAAGTCGTTAGGTCTGAGTTATAAAGGATGTTAAACTCAGACCATAAATATTATAATAACTCCTAAAGTTCTATCATAGATGCAGTAGTTTGCTGTATTGTAACCTTGGTATTATGGATGTTGTATTCGATATATAAACTTAGTTTTAAACCCACAAAGTGTTCCAGAGTCAGTTAATTCATCATTCCTTATGTGTTGTCTAGACACAGGATAGTGTCACATCTAATTCCTTATTTGCAGTCCATGACCAGGATATCCACCTCTGTCACCACGACCCTTTTGTTCGGTACCGCGACACAGGATAGTGTCACAGTATTCTCTGTTTATTGCCGTGGCGAAGGATACTCACGACGTAACAACACTGTAGTGTCACACATATTCATAATGTTAAATGAACAAAATAACGTTGCCATATGTAACCTTTAAGACTGCTGTTAAAATAACTATGATTTAAACCGAGAAATCTTATTATGTTTAAAATATCTAATAACCACATTGTTATTAAATATATACGTTTTTTATTAAAGGCTATGGTTTGTCCGAATGTTTAAACACCCATCTAAATACACCAACACATCACAAAGAAGGTTCTGTTGGCAGGAATTATGCTGGCATAAAATCAAAGGTATTAATCATGTCATACACCAAATAGCACCATCTCCGGTGTTTTTGGCATTTGCTTCTATCGCTCCAGCTGAAATTGTCTGCCAGTGGTTATAGGGAGGTTAACAATTGGTTGAAAGGGGAAATGATCTTCACTACGCGTTTGACCTATCTAAGTGAAACTCCGTTGTATTCGGTTGGTCATTTTAATATATAACATCTCAAACACCATTATAACACCAACAACGGCCGTGCTTAAATAGCCAATCAAACGTCTTATTGAAACGAGCTAAGACTTTCGCGGTAATTTCTAATGAACGCGTCGTATGCATGGGAGTATGCAGAATACATTGTTAACTTTTGGATCGAGACAATAATACCCAGGAGTCATTCCGTGAAGTGCATGCGCGAACTGCCAGACAATGAATTATTATACACAATGTTTGCTATTTTGTCTGGACTAGTAATGGTTGCTGTCAAAGCGGGAAAATTTTTGACTGAGTGTTCAAACGGGGACTAGCTATACACAAGTCTTCAAATTATAGAGGTTTTGGAGATCTCCGTCGTTGTCGAGTCTGCCTTTTTCTGTATTGCCTTTTGAATTAAAATAAGTTACCATTATTTCATTTTCTGTAGATCATTCATCCAAATACTGGTAAAACTCTTGGTGTAAACGAAGATGGCGAAGTTTGTATCAAAGGACCACAAGTCATGATGGGTTATTTGAACCAACCGGAAACAACGGCGGCGATGATTGGCTCGGACGGATGGGTTAGAACTGGTCAGAATCACGTACATCTGATAGTCAAAGATAGCCTTTATAGTTAACGTTGTTGTTGTAAATATGGGTGATGTCGCAGACAAAGCTAACCCCTTTTTATTCACTCACTATATGAAATAAGGAGTTAAAAGTCCACGAGGAACAATTCTAGAATTCCAAGGTGGAAAAGAATCAAGATTCGAATTCTTGACAATCAAATACATCCCGATATTGTTGTAATTTACAGCATATGCCTGTGTGCTCTATAGAAAACGTGTACTTTGTCTAGGAATTCCATAGCCTAACATAATAAAATGCGCGTTATTGACGGATTTGCCTAACTGTTCAGAAATAGTTTGTATGTGAATAAAGATGGGCTCTGCCGATTATATTAAGTAGCACACGAAGAACTGCTGATTGACTTTGTCTGGCAAGCTAATTTTGTATTTTACAGGTGATGTAGGTCATCTAGACGAAGATGGTTTTCTGTATATAGTTGACAGATTTAAGGAACTGATTAAATATAAAGGTCATCAGGTTGCGCCAGCAGAATTAGAGGCTTTACTACTAAAACACCCCGATATTGCCGACGTAGGCGTTATTGGTGTACCCGATGACGAGGCTGGAGAACTCCCTAAAGCCTTTGTGGTTTTGAAAAACAATTCAAAAATAACAGCTAAAGATATTCAAAATTATGTTCAAGGTACAGTTTTTTTTATAGTTTTATGAAACACATGAATGCATATCGCGAAAATGTGAAGATATTACGGCATATCGCTATACTTAGACTGCATTAGACTTTGTCGAACAATAGGGTGAACACCAGTTTTGAAATATTTAAGACATTTTAGGTTTACAGCATTCGGGTTGTCTTCCGTAAATAAAACACCAAATTAATGAAGTTAAGGTATCACATGTATGTCATAATACCCTGAAGAGCCGTGGTGGCTCACTGAGTAAGTCACTGGCTCACTTACCAGGGGTTCTATCTTGTCAGTGGTGCAGTAAGGGGGACCTAAAAGGACAGCGTCTGATTGTTCGAATTATCTGGAAACTAGAGGCCCCGTGTACACGTTTGCGAAAAACAACCCTTGGCAGTTAAAATTCGATAAAAGAGGAGACCTAGCCACGTGTCAAGCCAAATGTCGCCTATAGCACACTGTGTATGTCTTCCGTATCCCAGTCCGTGTAGAAAAGTAAGATATGAAACCCTATTTCATTTCATAATACCTTGACACTTTGAATATGATAAATATCATATACTATCTCACACACCTTGATTTAAAGAAACACTTTTATTTATATCTTTCTATTCCAGAATGTACTGCTCCTCACAAGAGACTTAGAGGTGGTGTTGAGTTCCTGGAGGAAATTCCTAAAAGTGCTAGTGGAAAGATTTTAAGACGTGTTTTAAAGAAAAGAACATTAAATAGCAAATTATAATCTAATAAATTTAGCAATATTCAAAAGTAAAATACACTGTACATTCATTAAGGTAACCTGTGCTTCGTGATGTTTTTAACATCGTCAAGATCGATTGTCCAGTTAGATTTCATCCCCTGATGAACTTTTATTTGAATTAAAGATATATTCCCTTGTCAGTTGAACATAATCATGTTATCTCAACGATCGAATAAATTGGTTTATTTCTATATTAAGACAGTTTTAGGGGTGACGAAAAATAATTATAGTCCCCAGATTGGATCTGCTGTTGATTTCGTTGTGCGTGCATAACTCTTAGGTTGTCCATTCATCGAATGTCTGGTACGTTAAATTCAAATAGATTGTTATAAAGCTTGCCGTGAACTATTCAGAAAAAATATGATTTGGGGTAAAATGTTTTCCAGTCGGTGTCGAAGATTCATTTCATACCGATGCGGATGCAACATGGAAAGCTCCTTCTCAAAATTATCAAAGTATACTTAATGTCTTCGACTAGAAAACGTCGATGTAAGATATGGCAAACTAGCTTCGTGTATGCTTATAAAAATCACTGTTCAATATCACGTTTCGATTCACATAATTTCACCCTGCCTCGAAAACGAGAGCTTGGTCCTCAATGGAAACAATGATAAAACGATGTCGACCCACCTACATAAACCAAGGAACACATTTTTATTCAGAATTAACATAAATCGTTTGAATGGCAGTTAAAAAAAACCCAAATACACCAGCTGGCTGTAAGAACAGTTTAGTGTTTATTGTTTTTATTAGAGAGATCCTGTGTAGACTGAAGACGGACAGACACCATGCAGTGTGCTATGGAACTGGCCAGACCCTCTATCCAGCACAGCTGACAAGAGTAAAAGGCGCTGAAACAGTATTGTCTTCCTTATCCCAGTCCGTGTAGAAAAGTAAGACATGAAACCCTATTTCATTTCATAATACCTTGACACTTTGAATATGGTAAATATCACATACTATCTCACACACCTTGATTTAAAGAAACACTTTTATTTATATCTTTATAATCCAGAATGCACTGCTCCTCACAAGAGACTTAGAGGTGGTGTTGAGTTCCTGGAGGAAATACCTAAGAGTGCTAGTGGAAAGATTCTAAGACGCATTTTAAAGAAATGAAATGAAATGAAATGGGGTTTAACGGCATACAACCACCCACCCAAACACTCTCTACTACCAGGGGCTTGTGTTCTTACACTACATTACTATATGACGTAATAGATCGAATCAAATCTAATAATGGCTGACGAATTGATGTTTTGAGATGTTCACATTGGGCAACTCTTCCAGCTACCTACAAAATATAAAAAAAATATTCTGATATATCCTTCACTCACGCCATTTACTGTTATTACAGTGAATGAGTTGAAGAAATTATTTCAAACTTATAACAAGGGTCTACAGCTGGAGATAGAGAGAAAAAGAATGGTTTAATGTCCATTTCAGGACTAACATTGTACATTTGTATTTGAATAATTCACTTGCGTGTTAAGGTATTTAGTAGTCAGAGGACGCAGAGAAAACCAACGAGGCTAGACCAGCGACCCCACAACTCTTCACGTACAAGCTTGCATGGTGTCAAAACCCCGCCACTTTACTCAATGACAGACATTATCATTTAATAAAGCTCACACGTTAGACCACTCGGCCACCGGTGGACAGATTAAAGTTTTTTTTTAATAGGGCGAAGGTTGTACCAGGTTTTCTAAATGCATCGTATGTCATTGGTAACTATGTGAACTCCTCAGATGATAAGTGGGATTGGTAAGTATATCCTGCGTCGAAGCCAATGGGTAGAGAAGCTACTTCCCCCCTCCCCTCCGGCCGCCAGTTCTCAAAAAAATTCGACAGTACCCCAAAATGTTATCGCCAAAATCAATTTTAATCGCCACTTCGATATTTTTATCGCAGATTGCGACTTTGGCGACCGATAGCGTGAGTATCCCACTAATCTGATTTTTCCAAATAAATGCAAATTGTAAATTACGTACTTGACATTGACAGATGTATGATCTTGATTGGTCAAGCGGGTCTGTTATGGTTGATGGTTGGTTCACGGGAATAGGGGCGTGTCTTTGACTTTTTTGCGAGAATAAATGTGCAGGTACCTCACAGTTAGGACCTGGAAGAATAAAATCAAATATACATTTTGGTACATCTTGCTTAAAATCACTAGACTGCTTTCTAAAATGAAACTGTCGATTAAGGAATCGGTCTACAGCAAAGAGTTGAGATACAACAGTTGTCGACAGTTTAAGGAAAAAAGGGTGAAAAAGAGAAACTAAAATAAGTAAAGACCAATGGAATTGACTCATTCGGAAATCATCGGCAAACTGCTGTACGTGATCCAAAATAAGTATTGTATTATTGTTTGTCGTTTACTGTAATGATTCACCTGATAAAGACAATTGCCATATTACGGTGTGGACATTTGAGAAACTTGAAGCAAATCAGACACAGAAACTGACAGTTTTGTATTCCTTTGAACATTTCTACCAAAATATGTAATATCCACGGGTGTACGCATCATAATACTTTGTCGTAGTGGTCAAGCCCTGAATTTTTTGAGGCCGAAAATTATATAATGAAATGGGGTTTAACGTCCTAGTTTTCTGCTCCATCCATCCGGGCTAATGAAGGTGGGCTATGGGATTAAGTTTTACATCCAGCTCTATCGCCCCGCCACTTCATTTATAAAAAGTCATCTCGAATATAAACTTAACATTTCAAATCAGTTTTGGGAATTCATATGTTTTGGACATTAATACAAATAGCACAGGATAAAATAATTATCAAAGTTGAAAGGCGCCTTTAAAATTGTTGTCCAAATGTTTACATTTTAGCGTCGGTAATTGCATACTGTGCGTTTATGCCTAGACAACCCCACCCACCTTCCTGCTAATACATCACTGCTTCCATTTCTTACCATTTTGACAAACTGGACAGCAGATCCCCTCTACTTGAACACTGTCGACACATTTCGGTTGACAAACCTCAACTCTACAAGATGGAATACGTTGACCAGCCATACATGGACATTTTGTACATGGTCTCTCAATAGATCTAGGATAATAACTGCCAACTTCATATACACGTCCATGTTTTAAACAACCAAGTTGTTCACAACAACATCCATCAGCTGACCACTGAAATAGATAAATAACATTCATGAAATAAAGAACTCCAGTCATACACATCCTGGGTAATCCTCGCAAGTGTCAACTGTTCTGCACGATCTGGGATACTGAAGACTGAAAGTCACCATGCAGTTTCCTATGAAACATCGGTTTTACGTCCTATGCATTCTTCCTTGACAGACCCTTCAACCATATGTTAGTCCCAAAATCACCTAGTCTGTTTCGGGTGGAGGTTAAACCCCATTTCACTCTCTCTCTCTCTCATCCTGCACATATGACAAGAGGAAACATTATCGGCCTAAACTGTTTACAATTTTAAAACAACATTCGTATATGCTAATTAAATGTTTATTTTCTTTCAAAATATGAGAGAGAGACAGAGAGAAGAGGCACTGTTCCTTGCCAGACCCTCTGTCCATCACAACTGACAAGAGTAAACGACGCTGAAACATTATCGGCTAGAACCATAACGGGAATTTTACAATTTTCAAAGAACATTCGTAAACGCTCATTAAATGTTTATGTTTTCTGAGAGGGAGAGAGAGAATCCACGGGGTGGGGAATGCGACCTCCTTGACGCGTACACCCTTGGGATCGAAACCACGCCACTTGACTCAGGGACAGACCTCACCATCTTAAGCGCACGTGTTAGACTGTTCGATCAATAAACAATACTTAGGAAATGTTAGTTTTAGGGTGATAATTCTTTCTGTTATACACACCAGAAAATGGTAGGCCTACTTACTCTTGCACAGATCTGTTCGTGTGAAGGATGATATGGTATAGAACAGGTTGGTCCGTCACAATTACTGCCAACACCTAAAACACACGTACAATTTCTACACCTCTCTCTCCAGTTAAAACCTGGTTGTACCATCATATCCGGCCATATTGCACATGACGTCACAACTTTACATTGTACGATACTCATACATGTGGCAATAATTAAAATATGTAACAACATCCTGCTTTTATAATCTGTAAATATAGAAGTTTTAATTAAAGGGGAATAAGTCTTGATTTTATTGGACCAGTGTGTTAAATCGCGTTTAAGCGATATGTTATTTAGATAAGTGATACAGCAATCGCGATTAATCGTCTTTTTGGCATATTCCTGAAGCAATGAACCGAGAAATCCCTCTCTGGTCATTACTGGATTGGCTTCTGATACTTGAGCTTTTGAGAGAGTGTGTCTATTTTACCCGTTCAATCAAGTTTATCCCATCAACGTGACAGCCATTCGTTTAATCTGGGGTCTTCCCTAAAACTTTGGACATGGATTTAAGGTATTAAAGAACGCTGAAAGTATTGTTCGTCTCCAAACAGTATTGTTTACATTATAATCGTTTTGATAGCCTCGTTTGTCACGCAATTAGTTTTTCTGCAATATTCTGCTATGCACTGGTTATTTAGCGTAATAAAATTGTGAATCATGAGGTAACATTATGTAAACATATTTGGTCCAATTTGGAGCTCTGTTTAAAGCGTAATGATATTCTTACGCAGTTAGCGGTTGGATGTTAATCGGACTATTGGCCAGTCATAATTTGGAACAGAAATGTGCTTCCATTACAGCAGTGGTAAGTGGGATTAGCTCTAATCAAACGAAGCATTGCGAGGAGTATGACATTTTAGTGGAATAGGCGAAGACCAGTCGGCTTTAGCTCCGTTTTTAATACTCGCACATAAAATGTATTGGTTGCCTGTCCTATTGAAAGGGGGAATCCTATTCACCAAACTAATTGATCGAACGATTTAGCTGTTGTTAGCATATGTTTGATTACCAGGCTACCTGGATTTATTTCATTGTTTAAAGAAAACATAGTGGTCATGCCTTGTTTTTATTCAGTACAACAAATAACATACCAGCTATTTAATTTTTAGTACAACAAATAACCTACTGCAGCACTAACTAGACCATTTAGGTACTAATTATATTTTATTCCAATAACTGTGCGTGGATATCAGAGAACCCACCGAAAACCTTACAATACATAAACCGGAGACCATACTCACTGTCACACATTAGCGTGGGACCAAACCCACATCTTGCATATATAACATTCAAAACGTCAGACCATCCAGCCACCCAACCAAGAATAGGGTCAATTGCTTTTTTGCACAGTTGAAAGTAAACGTATGTCTTGTCGTTCAGATTGCACGAGAATCTCATACTTCCTACCTGGAATTTGGATTTCGAAGAACAGTAAGCGAAATGGGGTTTAGCGTACGACACGTCCTACTGTTTTGCTCCTAAACTGGGCTAATGAAGACGGGCATACGCCAAACAGTGTGCTATGAGGGCAGTGGCGTTACGGCCTACTCTTATATCGAATTCCAACTGCCAAGGGATCTTTTACGTGCACACCAATATGTACACGGGACCTCGGTTTTTCGTCCCATCCGAACGACTAGACAGCTGTCCTTATCAGGCTCTCCGTCCTGCATCAATGGCAAGGGGAAACCACGCCGGAAAATCTTGTTGAACTTTCTCGGCCAATGCCGGGATCGAACGCCCGACCTCCAGACTAGCGAGCCAGCGTCATACCTACTTAGCCACCGTGATCCCCCCTTGAAAATGTGAAGATATACAATATAATACTGAAGCTAAAATAATAATAATAATAAAAAAAACAAAGCCACGACATTTTGTTTACAGAAACAGGAAACGTCCAGCATGTACAAGAACGTCAACTTTATTATCATAATTTCTTGTTTTGAAATGCCGTTTGTCACTGTCATGTCACTTCGTGAGTCAACATACTGCATTAAAATTCAATGTTATGACTATATATCATACAACTGGCAGTTTTACATCTATATCGGTGGTCATTGGAAATTTCACGTTGAGCACAGTTGAGTTGACTTGGCATTCAGTAAATGTACAGTTACCCTTGCGTAGGGCGACTCCTTGATGACGCACTACGCAACATGTACGTCAGATGACGCAACTGTATCCTCACCCTGGCGTCAACCCTTATGGCTTTGCGTCGCAGCAAATGGATTTTGACCGACAGCTGTCGCAAAAGGCTACACAAACCCGACTCAAGTACTGCGGTAACGCATGCGTCACATCTCCCAAATTCCGTTAAACATATAAATATAAATATTATATATTTCTATGGCGTTACTCTTTGCGTCACTTTTGTGGTACGGTAACGCTGATTTTGGCTAAATTTTGAACATTTTAAAACAACGACACAGCTTTTGCGACACGCCGCGGTATCTTTACGTCACCCAACTCCCGACACATGCCTTGTGTTACCTTAGTCTCATACAGCTCTTCCACATAACCTCTGTATATATGTTCTTTAAATCTAATGTTTGTACCTTCTTTAAAGATATTTTGTATATAACATACCTCAATTTATTACACCTTTGTATCTATGGAAAGAGCTGATATAGACTTCAAGCCTGTTGCTCAATCCCATACGTTTTTGAATAAAATATTGTTTAAATCAAATCATACAGCACACACTGACCCACGCAAATACCTACGGTGGTTAGCTCAAAGTGTTACGGAAAATAGTATCGCACTCGTGTGAGGCATACTGTAGTCATAAAGATATCTATAGACTGAAGGTACGGTTAATTCAGTTCAGTTTCTTAAAAGTCGTCAGAAATATTGATCTGGAGAAGCCTTACCTTTTAGAAAATGGATAGTAGTTTAGTAGTTGTTCCTCTATCTGTGTAATCCAGGCGAGCTCCGCTGATATATTATATTAACCTGACAATCCAGGTTATTCTAGCCACTCAAATACTGACAGACGACAAAATCATAAAAATTCACCTTAAAGTAATGATTTGTCAAATATACATGTGTGACGTCAAAATGTAAAAACAATATAATTAAGCGTCATACTTTGACCTTTGACATAGGAAGGATTAATCCATTACTCTAAGGGCAACATACATACGACCATATTCGAAATGTTTGAACGAATTTTAATTTTTATAATTTAAAGGAAGCTGTTTATGTTTTAACGAATTTTATTTTGATAATTTAAAGATGTTACAGATCTTTGAAGAAAAACTAAATTACTGTTCTAAAACCTTAAGTTTAAAACGGCCAATCGAAACCTAAACTTTCGGACGTTCACGTTTTGAGTAAAGTATGAAACTTTGCACATAGGTACTATGACACCTAAGGCAGGGGCGTGCTGGCCTCGAAGAGGCACGGGAGAACGGACCCTGAAGGGGCCCGTCGGTCGCCAAAGGCGACCCGCGCGGCGCTGGTAGGGGGGTCTTTGGGGGTTGTCCCCCCTGAAAATTTTTGAAATTTGACAACGGGAAACGCGTTTTGCAAGCACTTCTGGGAGAAATCTAGGTATCCTATTTTTCAAATTTATGCTGCTATTTTGACTATAAGACATACTACTGTACTACACAAGACACTCATGACAGGTCTGCTTAATGCTAATACAATGTATTTCTATCCAAATAATAAATTGCATCTTATACATATCGAGGCATGAATACATGTATGAATCTTTAGTCTCTATGAGACATGATACTAACACAAAAATGCAGGAAATGCAATTATGCTATCAGCACCACCGATTGTTTTAATCAAAGACCATTCCATCTTAAGGTGACAGACATTTGCACGTCAGCATAATATATTTTACTAATCGTTGTGTATGTATGATTTTTCGCGTGCACACTCTCAATTTTTTTAGGGGATTCCGCGTGAAAATTGAAGCTCTCAGGGGGGGGGGGGGGGGCGCTTATACGGGTGGACTTATTGTTTAATGGGGCCTGGGAGGACACCGTCCTCCTAAACTCCCTGCCAGCACGCCCCTGACCTAAGGATCATTAAAATAATGGACACCAGAAAATGTCGGTTCTTGTCGGTGATCAGTAGAGCCGCTTTTAAACCACTAAATATAGAATGTAGAACTTGAACTTAAAATCCTAGAAATAGATAGGCAGATTTATCTCAAATTTTGCATATTATTTTGAACATTACCAAATTAACATCAAAGTCTTAAAGCCCTAGTCAGACCAAAGCACGACGGCGTTCAGATCTAAAAAGTTTGGCGATCCGACGAATTAGACCTTAAAGGACAATATTGGTATCAGCCATTATCACATATTTGATAGAACTGGTTTAACACGTTCCAAATATAATTTGAACACAGAGATCATTGCTACGATAGATGCGTATCGAAGATTAAAAAAAACGGAAGTGACGAAAGCAAAGGGAAAACACGAGTCATCCTTCTATATAACTGACTGAATGAAGGAGGGATAAGATACCCCCCCCCCCCCGCCCGCACGTACACCTTCCCAGAAATCGAAACATTCCTAGAAATGTGTTTTTATTAAAACATAACATGATCATCGTTTATGTCAACGTTATCACATTTTCCCACAATTGTAGACATTGGACCCCCCCCCCCCCCCGTTTCTCGAAAATGCCCCCTCAAACGCCTAATCACTGGTCTAAAAACAACTTGGTCTCATAAATCCACAGGTCGGGTGGCGACTCGTCCCCCCCCCCACCTTCGGTCACCGGACTATTAGGTTGCCAGATTAAACATCTAGACTTCATAAAAAACCTGGACCGATCAAAATTGCATTCGGTTCCTTAGAGCAGAAAATCAGTGCCCTACGTAATATTGTTCATATTCTCTGTTTTGTGAAACAATATACTTTGAAATGGACAAACATCTTCCCATATGCGAATGTTCCAGTCGTACTAAGAAACAATATAAGAACAATAAACCCTTTTGGAATAACGAACTAACTTCTCTGTGGAAAGGTGTCCAAACACAATAAGAGGCAGTTTGTGATGGCCAGGGGATCAAAATTAGAAGGAAATACACTACGCGAAAAGTTCAAAGCTGCTCAACAAATATTTGACCACACTTGAAGGCGACTAGAGCGATTATATATATAAACAAAATCATACAATCGAAATAGATGCGACATGTTTCGAAAATTCTAGAAAATTTTGGGACACCTTTTAAAGAAACTTGGACCTAAAATCGTGAGTTGATATCCTTCGAAGTTTACAATTAATACGGTGATATCGTTTTTTGATAGAGATGAAGTTCTGAATGAATGGGCTTCTTTCTCAAATACTGAATTCAATAGTGATTTCCATGAGCAATTCGTCAATATAAATAAGGACACTGTATGCAGGATGCCTCTTTTCATTCTAATGAGCATCTCAACTAGATATTGTCGTAATAAAAGCTAAAAATTGAAAATCATGTGGAAACGACAATGTAAGGTTCCAATACACTGAGCTGTATTTCTTTTGGTCCATTTGACGTTTTTTTATGTCTGGAAATTCGTGGCTTTCCCAATGATTTAATGATTGGCAACTTATTGAGTGTCTGGAAGGACAAGGTTTGCTGTTGTTTGTACTTCCGCCCTTTTCGCGGGTTAGAATTTGTTGAGTAAATTTCGTGGTTTTGCTTATGTATAAGTATAAGTGAATTTCGTGGTTTTGCTAATGTGTAGGTGAATTTCGTGGTTTTGCTTAGGCCTATGTGTAGGTGAATTTCGTGGTTTTGCCTATATGTTAAGCTATGGTGGATAACAAATCTGGTAACTAGTGTCATATTTAATTACTATATAAAGTTCTTTATATTCCTTGCATTTAAAGAATTCATAAATTATATATTGTAAAGCTGGCTTCACCTAGCTGTCGTAGATGCGTGGTCATATTGAGTCTAATTTAGTCGTAATGTTTGCAAGTACCCTTTATTTCGATGAATTATTTAGACTTTCGCAAACGAGTCTTTGACAAGTTCATTACAGCAGTTCCCTGTACGTTAATTGTAGTTATCTCCCTTTAATCATTCTTGTAATAATTTCTCTGATTCATTGTATTATTATTGTATATTTCAGTTAATCATTCCTCTCAGAAATTTCGTTTGTTTTTATGTCTGAAAGGGCGCATTAATAGCCACCCCATCTAAACCTGCCTTTAGTAGATAGTTGAAGGAATGTACAAGCTACATATATTAACAGATTTATTCATCTAGCCATTGTCATGGAGTCAGAAAACGAACTTATTCTTAACCAGTGTTTCTCAGACATCCAGGAATTCTAGAGGATCTGTTACGTCACTTTGCGTTAAACAGGAACAGAAGAATGCAGAACTTTTAGAAAGGCAGAAATTTATTTTAAGAAAACAAAAGTTAGAAAGGGAGCGACTTAATTTACAACAAAAGGAAGAATTATTGAATATTGAAGAAGAAATAACCATAGCTAATGCAAATACACAAGTCGTGCTAGACGTTAGTAATGCAGAGACTCTGGTTACAAGAAGTGTTGCTAATTCTGATTTAGAACTGAATTCTAATATCTGTTCCCCTACTAACACCCAAGATCAAAAACATTTTTCAGAATTAGATAATATTCATATCCATGCCCCTGCTTACATGCAAGGTCAACAACCGCTTTCAGAATTTAATAATGCTTACATTCAACCTTTGCAGACATCTGCCATTACTGATATAGTTCAACATTTAAGGAGACCTGGAACAGAAATCAAGAAGTTTGGTGGAAATCCGATAGAATTTCCTCAGTTCATGAGACAGTTTCTTACTAAGTTAGTAAGTTGTACCTCAAACGACGATGAGCGCCTTAACTATTTGGAGCAGTATACGTATGGACAGCCGAATAAGATTGTATGTGGCTACAGTTATCTGGAAGCTTGTATTGCCTACCCTGCAGTGGTCAAGGAATTGGAGGAACGCTACGGAGATCCCAATATTATTGGCAATGCCTTTGTTAAGCGAGCTTTGGACTGGCCAACTATAAAATCAGATAATCCCAGTTCTCTAGATGAATTTGGTATTTTTCTAACAGAATGCTTGAATGCAATACGTGGAATAGACGCTATTCAAGTCCTTCAGTATCCTGATAACATGAAGAAACTAATTCGCAAGTTGCCATATCACCTACACGACCGTTGGAGAAATGTAGTACAGAAACATAGAGACAATGGTGACGAAGTCAACTTTAAGCACTTGGTAGATTTTGTTAAGCTAGAAGGAAAGAAATCTACTGACCCCCTTTATGGAAAGGATGCTTTGCTTGATAACTCCAGGAAGGAATCAATTAAACACTCTAGTTCGTCATATAGTAATAACTCTTTAAGTCAGCCAAGGTCAAAGGGCACATTTACAACTCAAACTAAACCAGGCTTTAATTCTGCATGTGAACCGAAAGCCAAGCTGGAGTGCGAACACTGTAATGGAAATCACAAACTTAAAGACTGTCAATCGCTGTATAAACGTCCACAGGAAGAAAGATTAGATGCTATTAGAAACCTTAACCTTTGCTTCGCCTGTCTTAAACCAGGACACTTTAGTCCAGCATGTCAAAGTCGTTTGATGTGCACTCACTGCAAAAGTTACCATCCGTCTGTATTACATATTGATTATGCAAACACACAGCCCAAGACTGCAGCATATGTAACACATGGGAGTTATACGAGGGCCGGAGAAGCCAACTCAGATTTAGTTACGATGCCCATAATTCCTGTAAAGGTCACAACTACTGATGGATTGGTCGTAGTGGATACGTATGCTTTTATGGACCAAGGAAGCAGTGTTTGCTTTATAACAAACTCTCTTATGGAAAAGTTAGGCATTTTCGCACTAAAAACTCACCTGAATATTGAAACTATGCATGGTTCCAACTTCATATCTTCAATTCTTTGGTTAAGAATTTAGAAATTTTTAATCCTGATTTAAGTGATAAAGTCTGTATACCTATTTGTTATTCAAAAGACAACATACCTGTTACCAGACAACACATTCCAGTAAAGAGCGACATCTAAAGATGGTCTCACCTTTCAGAGGTTTACATATCAGACTTACCCAAAAAAGTTGATATTGGTTTACTTATTGGTAATAATAGCGGAGGCATATACCCCATTTGATATCAAAGTTGGACCTAAGGGAAGTCCCTACGCTTCGAGATCTGCACTAGGTTGGATATTGTGGGACCCGAGCCAATGTCAAGAGGAAATGGACATTATGTGCCAATATGCACTATATTATATAAACATATCTTCCCATGTGGGTGGGTGGGTAGGTGGGGAGGGGCGTCATCAAACAATCGGCCCACTCAGCACAACAAAATCAATTATTACCCTCAGCTAGGTAGAAAAGTTGTTAGTAAGTACAGCATTATGTAATTTTGAAATGATTCAGTTGAATATTGTTTTGTAGATCTCATGTCGGGTTGAATGAGACTCCGACAAACCGACCCATTTTCCATTTTCCACTTGGCAAAAATAACGGCCCCATTTGCCTTTCTGGACTAAGCCGCCTCCCCCCCAAGAAGAAAACCTGCTGTGCCCTCCTGTGTATCAAATGCCCATATTTTATATTTTGTCAGCATGCACAAAATCATCGAAGCATGCAAAATAGCTGTAAATTAAAAACTGTCAAACAAATCACGGCGTACTGTTCAGAATTTGTATAAAACGTTAAAAAAAAACCCCAAAAAATTTCGTGTTTATAATATTATGCTAATAAACAACCCCTTCGATCAGATGTTTGGCCATACGATTACGCGTGAACAAAATACAGCGGTAAACTTGTGCCAATTCTGCATGCTTACTACAGAGACCATCTAGCATAATGACCCAATTTCAACACTTTCGGTTCTACAAAAATTAATTTCTCGCTTGCAAAAACTGTTTTGCTTGTAATACAGAGGCGGTTATATTGCAGACCTGGTCCGCTACTGGAAAGATAAATGGAAATTAAACAGAAATCAAAGTTCAAATATAAATGATTCGAATCTGTGTACAGTCTATATAGTCTTGCTTTCATATAAATACTTATCATCGATTGGAAAACATGTCCAATTACTGGGACAGTATATCTGTTATTAGAAATGTTTTTATCGTTAGGAGCACTTCGAGGGGAGCTTTTTGATAATCAACATTTTTAAATTAGTCACAATTATGCAATACACTTCAAAGGCGATGAAGGGCCGAGCGCCGACTTTTCTGGTCTCCAAATAGCAGTTATTTGCCCATTGACATGAATGTTAAATGACAATATATAACATAACGGGCTGTGACATTTTACTCAACATCCCGTTGGTTCCAACCCTTGTTTTGAAAGGGGTGATCTTTTAGATTTTTACAAGATGGATTTGATATTAACTGGGATCAAAACGTCACTACTTCCGACGCAATGATTGTGCAGACACTTAACACCCTCAATCCCATCACCAATATGCCCCAAGTGAATCCAAAAATACAGGAAAAGTGGAAGAAAAAATATGGGTAAAATAAGCTATATTTGGCTGGCACTGCGTTCGTTAGCTAAGGGGGAATAGTAACTAGTCTTCCAGCCTTAGCCCCTCTGGATGCAGACCACAATTAAATTTCACCATCTTTGTATGTTTTGTAGTTCATCTATTTATAGCACCCCCCCCCCCCCCCCAACACACACACCTCTCTCCATAGCCATTGATTTGTTGGTCTAGAATCCAAGACATTAACTTTTACTGTCAGGTTTTGGTAAATGTTAGGAAAAAGTTAGATCCGGGCAAAGAGGCAGAATTAAAATAGAAGTCAATGGGAAAATTAATTGTGGTATGTATCCTTCTGGGAAACGAAGGGTAATGAAGGTGCTAAGATATCATCCACAGACTCATCCGTAGGGTGGCCTGTCAAACCTCGTGGAATTTTTCCGGGTCCACCCCCCCCCCTCCTCCTCATTTCTTAAAAAAAACGTACGTGCAAGCGAATCTGTTTTCTCTTCTTAAAATCAACCCATCATATTTGTAAGTAAAAATAAGTACGAAGAACATAATTTTATTGCTTTTTTAAAATGTATAATACACAAAATTTAAATTAAATAACTATTTAAACAACACCCACAATCCCAACTAGTTGCGACGGCAAAATATTATTTGCTTACTGGGTGTTTGTGAAACAGCATTATTTAAAATCTGCATCCATATTGACTAGATAACTATTATTTGATTGGAGTTTATTTAACTAATGTGTTGTTTAAGTGACATTTAGTAACTGAATGAGAATAACACATGACACAATTATATGGAATAGAAGTTACTTAGAAGTTTATTTTTTGAATACCAGTTACTAAGAATTTTATTTCTGGTCACGTTTCGATGAGGTTTCTCGTATTCCACACAATAGTGTCATGTGTTAAACTAGTACTTGGTTAGTAGATTATTGTCTACTTCCAGCGCCACCTGTTGTAAATTACACAACATTGTTGTGTGATATAATAGATCGAATCAAATCTAATAATGGTTGACGAATTGATGTGCCGAGATGTTCACATTGGGAAACTCCTCCAGCTACCTACAAAATATAACAATATTCAAATACTCTTCACACCCGCCATTATTCAACCATATCCAAATGTTATCCTCTAGTCATAAAAAAAACCGTTCCATTGCAGATATGTTTTCATGCAGATAAAAGACGCTGTCTGGACAAAGTCCCCTCCTTTGCACACTGCATATTATACTATTGAGTTGGCTTTGCCTAAATGCGCACTAATGTACGAGGGCTGGCTGAAAAGTTCTTGGCCTATCCGTGAAAGACCGCGGTACAAAGTCGATGGTTTCCATTCCTTTTCTACATAGTTCCATTCGAGATGCACGCACTTTTGCCAACGATGTTGCAATGCCGGTCAGGGAGACCCTTTCTTTAGCCACCCTTAAAAAGTCGTTCAAAGCTGGGAAAATAACGACCGACTAGTTCCTTTTTCATTCTTGGAAACAGGTCTAATCCATGGTTATAAATCTGGCCAAAAATATATTAGGATCTACTTCAAAATGGCGCTTGTTGTCACGTGACGTCAGTAATCTGACACGTTTCTGGTCCAATTTGATTAAAATATAGATCTATATTTCGTTTCGTTTTTTTATACTTTCGATGGCCTCTACTACATGAAGAATTGACCGGTTGTATTGGAAGGTCGCGTCAGAGGTCATACGAGCGGCTTTTGACCCCATGACGTCAGACATTTGATTAACCAATCAGCATTGATCTTTCTAGTGGATTATTCACACCAAAAACTCGCCGTAACAGACCGTTTCATTGACTAATCCCTCATCATCTAGAACTCTTCCAGATCCTAGTGGACTATAGTGAGCTATAAAAATCGAAACGAAATAGGATCTGTGTTTAATCACATTGGTTTCTGGTCCTAAGTCAGCCTTCACCATGTAATGCATTCAGATAATGTTCCCTTGAGTGGTTGCTGTTGGCCTTCCAGAACACGGGCCATCGTCAAGACTGTCTCGTTACACTTAAATTCCACAGCCCACTTTTTTACTGTGGGAAAGGAAGGGGCATCATCCCCTAAAGTGGAACCATGTCGACGTGCATCTGTGTTGGGGTTAGTCCTTTCAGTTGCAGGTACTTGGTGACTGTCCATTCTTGGGATTTCAGTGGGTAGGTTCACAAGATGATCTGGTACGAAGACAATAATGACATTGCAGTAGCAGGTCTTATGTCTCTGGTTCATTCAATGAGTGTACTTTATGGTGGAAAAAGTTTTTCTCAACCAATTTGATCTATACTTTATAGGCTTAGAACTTTTCAATCAGAGCTCGTAGATTATCCAAAACAAAAATGACGGTATTATAGCGTGACTGCCACTAATTAGTTTTTTGACTATTCCATTACTGACTGCCCAAGACGGAATTAACATTTGATTCCCAATAATGTGATGCGGCCAACATAAAAAAAAACAAAACAAAAACGGTGCGTCCCATTAAATTGCAAGTATAATTATACTTACTTGACATTGACAGATGAACGATTTGGATTTGTCAAACGGGTCAGTGATTATTGTCGATTGGTTCAATGCAATCGGGGCTTGCATTTGACTTGTTTGTGAGAACAAATGTGTAGGCACCTCACAGTTCGGACCTAGAAGAATGAAATCAGTATTTAGATATATGCAGTTTAAAACGGGTGTGAAATGAACAGGCTTGGTGATAATCCAGGGGCAAGTACATGTATAGAAAAAAGATAATTTAAATATGTAAATATAGATGAAATAAACTTTTTATTCAAATATAAATCAGCCACAAATGAGATCGGCTGTCAGATGTTTTATTTTAATTTGTTTTGGATTAGATATCTCAATGAAATGGATGCTGGGGGCCATCGCCCCCTCTGTCCCCTGTCTGTACGACACTGCTCCAAGTTTGAAAATCATGGATAAATGGTACTGAAAACTGAAATTACCTAATGACGAAAATAACTCACCATTTTGACAAACTGGACAACAGATTCCCTCCACTATAACACTGTCAACACATTTCGGTCGACATCCCTTAACTGTACAAGATGGAATACGTTGACCAGCCATACATGGACATTTTGTACATGGTCTCTCAATAGATCTAGGATAATAACTGCCCACTTCATATACACGTCCATGTTTTAAACAACCAAGTTGTTCACAACAACATCCATCAGCTGACCACTGAAATAGATAAATAGCATTATATGTCGTACCATCCGAAAGACCTGGTTAGCCATCCAGCAACTTACTAACTGAGCCAACGCGGCTCCAAAAATCATTCAACATCAATTGCGTCATTTCTCTTGATACGGCAAACATTCTATAAAACTTTCAAATGAAATGAAATGGGGTTTAACGTCCTACTGTTTTGCTCCGAACTGGGCTAATGAAGACGGGCATACGCCATACAGTGTGCTATGAGGGAAATTTTGCCCGGACAGCGGCACCACGCTAGTATCGAATTCAAAATGTCAAGGGATCTTTTACGTGCACGCCAATGTGTACACGGGACCTCGGTTTTTCGTCACATCCGAACGACTAGACAGCTGTCCTGCATCACTGACAACGGGGAACCACGCAGGAAAATCTGGGTGAACTTTCTCGGCTAATGCATGGATCGAACACCCGACCTCCAGGCTAGCGAACCAGCGCCTTACCCACTTAGCCACCGTGACCCCTATAAAACTTTCAGGCAGTGCGATTCAAAATTACTGCCACTATCACACTAAAACAAGTGATCATTAGACGTCATTGAAAATGAATAGGATTCTTCCTCTCAATATCCCATAAAGTTTTTCGAAAGTTTGATTGGCAGTTGTGACAAAGGGGCAGTGCTTATCACAAATCGTTGAAATCAATAGGGTTATCATACCTCGCAAATTTTAGCTTTAAAAATAATAACAAGTCACGTGTAAAATTAGAGGTTGTTAATTTTACCGAGAAAGCGGCAATTTGTCAAGGGATATTTTCAGTGCACTGCACTGCATATCCGTACACGGGATTAACACACAGGCGGCAAAGTTGTCATTTAAAAAGAAAGAATAATTCCCAGAAATTGGTAGGCCTACTTACTCTTGCACAGATCTGTTCGTGTGAAGGATGATATGGTATAGAACAGGTTGGTCCGTCACAATTACTGCCAACACCTAAAACACACGTACAATTTCTACACCTCTCTCTCCAGTTAAAACCTGGTTGTACCATCATATCCGGCCATACTGCACATGACGTCACAACTTTACATTGTACGATACTCATACATGTGGCAATAATTAAAATATGTAAAAACATCCTGCTTTTAAAATCTGTAGAAAGAAAATGCAAAATTGTTTTTATTTTGCAGTATACCAGTTTGAAGAGACATGGATTTTGAAGGTTGCAGCGCTAGTTCCTCCCTCAGTCAAAAGTTATTCCATCTGTGAATCCGGCTTATTTTAAGAGATGTTACATAATATACAACGAGTCGGCCTCTTCTACCCATAATCCTAATCCAGAGAGAAAGAGAGAGAGAGAGAGAGAGAGAGAGAGCTAGGGGTGTATTGCTTCTGTGAATCCGGCTCTATGGAGAGTCGTATTGATTTTGCGATTCGCCACAGAAGTAAATAAATATACTAGTCTAGATTTGCCCGAGGAGTATGAGATTTGCCTTACCTTTGAAAGAATTAGAGAACAGTGCTGAGGTAGTTTTTCCTTTCGGGTATAATTTAAGCCAACACTGTGAATGTCGTAGTAACCTATTTCACTATTAATACTGTAATCAACTAAAGGAATTCACTCAAATATTGTGTCTGCTAAAACAATGACAGACGATATAACTATAAATATCCACCTTAAAGCGGTGGTTTCTATTGCTGTCACAATGTAAATTTATGTAGTTTACGTCCGCTATGTAACCAAGCGTCAACAATTACACTTTGACCTTTGACACTTTACTCAGAAGTCTATAGACACAACATCCTTAACAATTTGACCCCGTTGATAAACTACGTTTTGTTATCCTCATTAAGAATAAAAGTAAGGCATACAAATCGTCTTCTAACCGTCGCAAACAGTAAGAGTAACCTACAGGCCATATATCACGGTGAACTCGACCATAGGTTCAATAATCGATCACGTAAAAAAATGACATGTGCGACAACGGACAACTTTGATGAATTCTTAATGTCAGAATAAATAGTAACGAATTGGCCTTTATCACATGCCTTCTTACAATCAATTGGCATTCAATAATTTGTCAAAGCTCCACATAGTTTTTTGATGATGTCAAGTAAATCTGATGAGCAAGGATTCCTCTAGTAGAAATTACGAATGGTAGTTATAGGCTTCCGTATTCCTTAGATGTAACTGTGTTGGGTCTAAACATGCCAAACTAACAGATGCACATATTCTAACAGCAAAGTCAAATGCTTTAGGCAGTGTCATAACTGCCTATGTTGGAGAAATTGTTAGAATAAAAAGGCAACAATTGATAATGTAATTTAATAAATCAGTGAATAAATGTGCTGCAGTGTATCTTTTATGCAAAACTCGTAAGGAGATTTCACGCAATCACTGGGTGTAAAAACCAGTGATTAGACTATATGGAAACCGTTAAAATTCGTGAAATCACCTTTGCCACAGGCGTAATTCGAAATCCCAGGAACTGTTAGCCCTTTGGATGTTTCGCCAGACCAATTCGATTTGGTTTGATTTGACCCTACAAGGGATTCGACAGACGCGAGAACAGAATTTTTGCCCTAAATAGACCGTTACCTAGATTTTCGATAATTAGGGAAGTCTAGGCTTTTTTGAATAAATCGAATTAGCGACATTATGTTCTTGCTGAAGGTAGGATTTTGGGTCTTATAACAGAGCAAAACCGCTTTGGTTCCTTAGACCACCATTTGATTCCCAGAAGGCCATGATGTAGTGGTTAGACTGTACAGGAGTGGGATGGAGAGAATGAGTATTACGTAGATTACCTATGTAACCTGTTTCCATATAAAAATAATATATACAAGAAACGGTTGTATTGTTCTTAAAAAAACAACTTCCAAGTCAAGAAGAGAATTTCAATAATATCCATGCGAGAGTCAAACCTAGGCGATCACTAGCCAAAAACATACAATATCTAGCCTACACTAGATTAATTCATCAAAATGTTCTTTATGGGCTACCGTAGAGTCAGTTTCTACGTTTCATGTTTCGTAACTAAAATGCCACAAAATAGTTCAAATACTCACGGTCTCCGAAAACAAAGACATATCAGTCATCTGTGTGGTTTTATTTTCATGTTAATAGATTGCTGTTCCGTTTTTCTACGTCACAAGAAAATATTTATTATAAGCTACCGTATTCGTTCTTATAAAGCGACAGCAAGGGATAGTTTCATTGACATTGTAATTAGAGGTATATTTGATCAAACTATATGGACAATTTTTTATGTATTTACAGGACAAAACGGGGGGTAAAACAGAACCCTGCGTCACGCCTTTGTTGATAAAAAGTGTAAATTGACAATAATAAAAAGGTATATGCAGTTTTAAGAGATCTGCAAGCTATATTACAGTTAAAGGCTATTTATTTATCCATCTTCCATCAACATTCTCTTCATTTCTATAAAAATGTGGTGGTTTTGGGGTTGTTATGTTAATTATAAGAATACGGTTTTTCTTGATTTATTGCTTCATGATAATATAACTCATCTTTTAAGTGCCTAATGACATATACATGTATATTACAAAAAACAAGAGTAATCATCTATGTGCTTAAGTATATAACATATACATGTATATTTCCAATGCATACATTTAAGTAGTATTTTTACGGCAACATTTTTTTTTCGCAAATATATATTGCAATTAAATGGCTATACATGTACGTTACAACAAAAAGAAATTATTTTAAGTCAAGTGTACAAATATTGATCATGCTGATTTATTCGTGCATTTTTTTCTATAAAACATGCAATAAAAAGTAAAGAGTTTTTTAAAAAAAGAACTTATGTGATTTCACTTGTCGTGGAGAGTGATTTTATGGCCCATAAGTTGTCGATTTGAAAGGCATAAGAGTTGGGACTAATGTAATGCCTATCGAAAGTAAAAGAGTATATACCATCACTGCATTTCTATTCAAAGCAATATAATAGTGTCCTTATATACTCTTCAAAAAAAAGTAGGGGATATTGAAATGCAAATACCTATGCAGGTTGTGATATGATACATAGTCATGGGCACTTGACATGCTTTGAGAGTATGTTCACAAATGAAGAACTTATCGCCCCAACAGAACCACTGAGCTGCACATGCGACACGCAAGAGCACCATACACGTGGGAGGTGTTCAATAGAGACTTTTGCGTGTGACGTCATCAATGTGTGTGTATTTCTCATACGTCTATGTCACACGGATACGGCAGCACGTATCGAACAGCCTTCATACGGAAAAGGTCCGTATATCATTGTCGTGTCCTTTTAACGTCTTTTTTGCTACTTTTAGACGCTGAAATGTTGTATCGTAGCGTTTTTATGAATCTGTGTGCATTCCAGAACACAAAGGTGTATATTTGATGTGATTTGAACCATGATGGTTGATCTACGTGCTAAATTTAGGAAACGGAACCTTGCAATTCTGTAAATGATTTTATTCTGTGGTAAAGGGTTATAAACTTTCTGAAATGATACATTAGTGAAACCAAAAATTGCAGTCGAGTCGAAGATTTTTAATAAGATTCGACATTATTTTTTTTAATAGCTCAGCGACTGTCGGATGACTTTATTCCCTCCGGGAAATTGTCGGCTCTAATAGGCACTTGACTAGTACTGATGGTGATCTTGGTAGATATCTGCCATCATGCTGTTATAGAACTAAGCTCAGTTGATCGACGCACACGTACGCGACGCGAAAATCTGCCAAAACTCTAAAACTACATTGACGCAACGTATCACGTATACGATACGAATACGTGATACGGATGGGGAAAATTCCGCTTGCCAAAAGTCTCTATTGTCAAATTTGACACTTCAAGGAAGGGTTGATGAAAACTGCCGTTTGCTGGTTTATCATATCCATATTTGCTTTTCTATCGGTTCTTGCATAAGATTTACTTTTTAGCGTATCTTTGCTTTAATATGTTACAGTACTGGCCAAATTAATAGCATTTTTTTCTAAAACGTTGCAGAATTAACTCACTAAAATTGAAGTATGGATAAAATCATACACCGTGAATATATTGAACTGAATATTCTTACACATAACCATATTGACATCTACTTCACATTGCATGGTTGGTCGACGTAATTGATGACGTCATAGCGGCTGATGACGTCATCGATGTCCGTCATGTTGTTTTTTTGCCGTTTTTGGAATACAGTCATTAGGAATTCTCTAATACAAGAACATCAGTTACGTTTTGGGGAGAATACAGGACAAGCACACTCAAAAAACAATGATTTCAATGGTCGTGCATGACGTCATTACGACTGTGTGACGTCACAATGACGTCATCTCGCTGAAACAGGTGTTTTACGCCAAAACGCTTCAACTTGATTGATTTCCATGTTTTTGGTGTTTATTTATATCTTTTCTTGGGCGCCGAATCGAACTACGGCTTTTAAAATGTTCAAAAATCGAGGTAAATTGATTTTTTCAACGATAGTTGGTATACAACGATGAGCACATGAGCGAGTAGACTGTGGGAAAGTTACGACAACTCATTTCCAGGCGCCATTTTGGTTCCCAATTATGACGCCATAAAAGCTATGACGTCATGGCTTCATACAGGTTTACATACCAAAATTTGTTTTTTTCTTGCAGTATTAGGCGTTGAGGGATAACGTTTTACCCTAAAAAAAAATGCAAAAGAAATCAATGCAGTTTGGTTCAGTCATAAATATATCAAACAAAATCATACCCAAAATCGGGGAATTTTCTGAGAGCGATATTTCGTAATCAATGTGTTTTACTACTTACTCGTTGGATTATAAATGATTTCTTTTTAAATTCCTCAAACACAGAGTGGTTATGCAAGCGAAATGTGCCGAAAAATCGAATTTGACAAACATCAATTAAAAAAAAAGGAGTATTTTTTATATGGTGCCGGGCGTTTCTTTCATAATGGCCGCCAAATTTGGTAATATTATTATTATAACAGCATATTTATAGCGCGCCCTTTCATAAAACATGTTCAGGGGCACTTTACAAAGTGACAATGTAATCATAAATAAACAACAAGATTATGGACATGTTAACAATTGTATACAGTGTCAGTTAAAAGCCCCATTAAAGAAATGTGATTTGAGTTGTTTTTTAAAAGAATATAGAGATGTACAACATCTTAAACTAAATGGTAGATTATTCCATTAAACAGGTGCTTGATAACTAAAAGAGCGCTGACCATAAGAGACTAGTTGAACAGTTTTGGGCTTTAAAAGTAGTTTATCTGATGTACGTAATGTTCGGCCATTAAATCGTGGTTATGTACGCGAAATGTGCGGAAATCGAATTTGACAAACATCAATTAAAGAAATGTATTTTCCATGTGGTGCCGGGCATTTCTTTTAAAATGGCTGCCGAATTTGGTAATATAAGGCAATTTAACAAAAAACCCATTTGGTAAACTTGGTAAACTAAAAGGGCATCTCTTAAGATACGTAAGATATGACTTTTGCTATGTCCTTTATATGGTTTTCGATGTTTCTGAATTTGAAGATGAATTTTGAAAATACAAAATAGCAGCAACACAAATTGGCGGATATTAAATTAATCGTCATTTTTCCTGTTGGATATTAGATAGTGTCTCTAAAGCATGTTGTACACTGTAGTTCGATGTACCTTGTAGTTCAGATACAGTCTCCAGACCGTGTTTACACTGTAGTTTGGGTGTAGTTCGTCAAATGAAGATGAATTTTACGATATATCCATCCTGAAATAACAAAAAAATGAAT